ATCCCGAATGCCGTTCGAGTCTAGGAGCCTCAGCTTTAGTATTATATGTATATACTAAACACAAATTTTTGTTACCGCATGTGACTTTTCTGGCCAATCAGATGGCTCCCATGTTGCTGTAACGTACAAAATTTGTCTTCAGACCCATTCGGATGCATTAAACCGAAAAGCAAATCTGATTGGCCAGAAAAATCACATGTCCGATTCAGTTTCATTTTTGAACGAAATTCAGACGGAAATTCGGATTCGCACGCACTGGGATTCGGAAATTCGGATGTGTCCGAAATTTGATTCGGAAACGAAACGAATCGCACATGTCTACATATTAAGTATGATGGTCAGGCGTCCAAAAACCTTTGGCCATACAGTGTATATTGAAGTCATCTTGCAAGCTGAACGGTGTCAGCCATCTACCATTCAAAAGAAATCTGTGCCGAGAGGAAATAGAAAGGATGTAAGCCAGGGGTAGGCAACCTCGGCACACCAACTGTTGAGGAGCAACAACTCCCATGAGGCATTGCAAACTGACAGCCACAGCTGAAGATTGCCTTTCCATGATCAATGTAGTCAGGTAGCGTGTCATTAGTTATCAAAGGCTGGTCCAAGATATCAGTTCAAAACACCTGCGAGGACATCACAGCCATTCCGAGATAACTCGATTTATTTTGACATTGCAGATCTAAAACGGAACATTTCAGGCTCAAAAAAAAAAAAAATGTTGCGCAGTTTTGGGTCCATGATAAGAGACAAAAACAAGACAATGGCGTTGCTGATCTCCTTCTGGCTACAGTACATTGTTCGGCAATTGTCATTCCCTTGGTTGCGTTATCGACTTGCTCCTTTCACAGTGGCGGGTCCGCACAAAGGTGTGTCCTTAGGCTCACTGCTGCACATGTTTCATCTTTGGTGGCCCTTTTGTTGGCAGAACATAAATCCAGCTTTAGTTGAAATTTGCATATTGTGCACCCCAGGGCTTCTGGTTTTTGCTTCCAGAGCCACTTTTCCATTTCGCACACGCAATAAAATGCAGAATTCTGTACATAAAAACAAATTTAAACCCTTCAAAAATATACATTTTCTGAAAACGTAGATCCTGTAGAATAATCTGGTGGTAGTTGCAATTTTTTAGGACACACAATATTGTGCTATTTAGGAACTTTATGAACTCAGTAAAAATTAAATAATAATACACTTTAATAATTTTAGTGCACACAAACACAATGATATTTTAATATAATTTAATATTTAAAAAAACGGTATTATTATTTTTTTACTGAGTTCATAAAGTTCCTAAATAACAGTACAAATATTGTGATATAAATTATATAAAAGAGGACATAAAAAAATATAAAAGATTGTACCAAGTACATACAAGCCATATATCTGAACCCTGCCTGTGAAAAAGCTGCAGTACCCAAAATAGTCAGTAGGTGAGGCTTTAAATGTCTTTACAGGTCCCTGATTTAACTGTGAATGATGGTCCTAGAGTTATTGATCTCATTTTGGCATGCATGGCAAAACCTAACATGTGGCGCAGCTGTCATTTTCAGTTGCGTGCATTTGTACTTTTATCCTTAATAGGGATCACAAGCGCCCTGTGATAAGTGACATGTTCTCTTTAAGGAGACATCAGCAACTATTAGACTCCTAATGTCACCTCTGCACTCTGTTGAAGTTGATCGAGCACAGACTGTGCTCAGTTAGCTTCATCCCTGACTAGAGATCGACTGCTATGAACCTGGAAGTGCTTACAGCGGAGTGCTTCAAGGTTCATTGGTCACAGAGCAGACATATGTTTCAGAGTATGTAGAAGTGGTTGAATGGCTTTACAACTGTCCAAATCATCTTTGTTGCCATATTTTACTCCCGGCTGCAGGCTATGTAGCAAAGAGGATTTGGACAGCTGTAAAGCCATTCAAACACTTCTACATACTCTGAAACATACGTCTGCCCCGTGACGAATGAACCCTGAAGCACTCCGCAGTGAGCACTTCCAGGTTCAGAGCAGTCAATTACTAGTTGATAAGTTAGCTGGTATTACAATTATCGGTGCACAGTAGATGAGCAATGTTTCACACCCCAATAAATTAATGTATATCCATGATCACGTGATCGTTTGAACCATTATCAGGTATGCAAAGCCTGAAAAAGGGGGGCTTTTTGAAAAAAAATTGCTTTCACAATGAACCTAATAAAAGATAAAAATTATATTTATTATAATGAATTAAAAATATAAATTGCATTGGAATAAACACAAAATTGATACATAGGTTTTGTACATGGTCCAAATACAATACCGTAATTGTTGCGGTAGTCTAGTTGATCGCAGAGAGATACTGCTGGTGGATTGAAAAATCTGTTTCCTGTACGGAGTAGGTGTAGAGGCTTCCCCATTTGAAGTCACTTACCCTGAACAAGTATATTGATCAAATGTTCTGATCAGCAACACAGAGAGAACCGCAGCAAGATGCATGCAAGGATTAAGCATTTTGATATCATGGCTCCATTCTCTCTTCCTTTAGTGGCAGCAGTGGGTGGTCCTTCCTCCTGACCTGATCGGCGTAATGACATCTAAGCGTCACTTAGTCAATGAGTACCCCGAGCCCAGGCTGGTGTGATGGGAGGTTGGGCTTTCCTCCTGACAAACCTGCACCCAATTTAATATTAGGACCGCACTATATGGAGGAGCCTTGATGTGGCTGTGCGGCTTTCACATTTTCTGCAGAAGACGTGTATCTAAACCTCTGCTTTTAACCTTAGTGGTTAGACAGGTTTTTTTGCATGCTGGGTGGTGAGTGCGCCGGGAAACTTTTTCCTGTTTTATTGTTTGAAGCCCTTCCGTGTGCACCTCGCTGTAAAGCTGTTAAATTGATAAATGCGTTTGCCATTTGTTTTGCCAGGCTTGTGTGATGACACACCCAGGGAGCATGTCCATGACAGCCTGGACACACAGTGTGTTACATGACAATGAATGAGTCTGCAGGGGTGGCGTAGTGCCGGAAAGGAGGTAAGTATTCCAGCAAGAGCTGCTTTTTGCTTTTGACACAGAAAATCAGCAAAGAAACAATTCCGCAATCAGAAAAGATTACAAAACAAAAATACTTTTATTTTCCCATGTTCATTATAGAGGTATTACACTGCTGTATAAAGGATGGGTTTGCTATACATGCAACACAGTCTATATTTATGTATTCTTAACACAGGGGAAAAAAAACTGTTACAATTTAACTCTTGGCATGTGTGACTTGAATGTGAAGAATGTCATTAAGATATATTTTGTAAAAGAAGATTGATGAGTGGAAATCTGTCTGCCGCGTTCGGTGAGTGTAGAAAAGGTAGAAGGGCCCATAAAATCCGAAAGCTCCTCTGGGGGGGTCATTGCTACTGTTAGATGGGATAGCAAGAATAATGGCATGGACCGTTTAAATAGCACATTTTCTAATGCAGAAAGGTAAATGGAGCTTCCATTTTCATTATTAACACACCACTGCAGACCAAAAAAAAAAGTTGTTTTATAAAACAAAATAATACAATCAAATTTAATTATAAAGAAATTCACAGAGATAAACAAGCCTCTCAAAGACAATGGGGGGAATTTATCAAAGCAATTACAACAGTTTTAGCCTCTTAGATCATTTTGTTTAATGTGCAAATCTGTCTTGCACTACTTTTCCAACTGCACGTATTTTGCCCAAAGCTTGCACTACTTTTCTAACTGCACATGTTTTTTGCATGTGTTTTGCACCTGTTTTCTTCAGAGCTTGCAATACCTTTTCAACTGCATGTTTTTGGCACCTGTTTTACATCTGCACTTGTTCTGGGCTGTCTGAAACTGGAGCATCACCTAAGAAAACAATAACAACTTAAGAAGTCCCCATGACCACTTCTTCAAGATGCGACAGTTAAAAGGAGAACTATGGGGTTAAGGCTTTTCCCCATAGTTCTCCTTAGGGTAACGGGAGGACACAAACTAGCGTCCTCCCGTCACCCTAGGCTTAGTATACCGCGAGCTGTAGCTTGCGATATACTGAGATGCTGCAGCGGATCCTGACAATTATGCCGGGATCCGCCCAGCTGCATGACTGACAGCTGGCTCAGCCTCTAGAGGCACAGCCAGCTGTACCCGCCCCTCCCCTGTCCGATCCGCCAGTCAACTGGTGCAAATATATTCCGTGCAAGTTCAAACACTCGCAATTTGTATGATAAATAACCCCCCAACATGTCTAATGAACATGACATTTATTGTCAAGGCTTAGACTGCATTGATAAATAAGGTGCAAATAAAATAAAATTTGTTACTTAAAGAAAAGTGAAGCAACTCCCTTGATAAATTCCCCCCTATGTGTTGCTTTACTTTATTTATCAACTCAATTGCTGGAAATGTACTAACATTTATTTAAAAAAAATAACAGATAATGTTGGTGATATTTTTCAATAAAAGCAGTCGGCCTGACTCTTGCCTAAGGTTTGGGCCAGTGGGGATCCTTTTAAGACACCCAACCCTCTTTACATGTTTACAATGAAGGTGCATATTTATAAAGCAGTGAATGCGACTTTCACCAAAGATTTACTGAACTACTAATACAGGAGTGGTAAACTCTGACCCTCCAGCTTTAACTACAAATCCCAACATGCCTCTGCCCCTAGGAGTCATGCCAGTAAATGTCAGTCTTGCAATGACTCATGGGACTTGTAGTTCCACAACAGCTGGAGGGTCAGAGTTGCCCACCCCTGCACTAATGTGTATTATATATATTTTTTTTTTTGATAATGAACATGCAGCTCTCCATGTTTAGGGGGTATTTGTTTTTAATGGTATTGTGTAATTATGCCCTTTTGTTTTTATCCGTATGTAACTTGCCCATGATGGTGCCCCTGGTCAAGGTTTATAGACCAGGAGATCTTACAAGCATATGTTATATATTTTGTTTTATTCCTCTTGCATGTGAAAAATCCAATAAAAATAAATAAAAAGATTCATGACATCTGTACAGCAACTTACCATTATATTTCTGTTGTTAAAAATCAGAGTAATGCTTCAACCTAGACAAAAATACAAAATTTTGTAAATCAATGGCATTGCAAGACAGAGTCAATAGTAGAGATCAATAATAATAAACAATAATATAATAAAAAGAATATTAATACAAAGAATACAAAAATACTACTAAAAATAATATACAATAATTATAAAAATAATACAAATAATAATACAGGTTTTGTTTTGTTTTTTTCTTTCAAATTAACCCTTTCAGTGGGGCTATCCCCAAATTGAAAGGGTTAACTACTCATGTTGCTCCAGGGGCTCAAATAAAGAAGATATACTCACCCCATTCCTTGGACTTGAGGCAGTGAGTGCTTACCTCTCTCCTGCATCTGTGGTATCTCCCTCGGTGTCCTCATGTCTAATGGACCTGCATTAGATGTGATGTCAGGGCTCTGCCAAAGCCCAGGGGAGAAGAGGCCGTGGGGACTGGTCTGGGAGCCAGGCAGGCAAGGGTTAAGTTGAAAAATTCTCTTCCTTAGTGATATTTTTTTAATAATATAAATGAAGTAGTAGTAGTAGTAGTAGTAAGTAGCAGTAGTAAGTAGCACTGGTAGTAATAATAATAAAAAGTGATAATAATTTGATTACATAACTAGAATAAAAATGTATCTACATCACTAGTAACATCCAATAAAATTCAGCTGGAATCTGGTTGCTATGGACAACAAACATTTTATTCCAGCCTCCAAACTAGAAACCTATTGTGGCTCCCGATATCACTGGCGACACTTACCTGTACAGTAAAGCGTCACCTTTGTTGTTTGCGATGGAGAAGAAGCCGCTGTGCGGGGAGAAATCCATCGAGCGGGCCAGGTGAATCCTTTTCCGCTTGCCTTGTACCGGAAAGTTTGCAAATACTGTGAAGGAGGGAATGTGAACCTGCCGGGAAAATAACATCAGATCAGTTACCACCGTCAGGAAACACTACACGGTCTACATGCATGGCGAAAGTCTTGCTTCCTTTTAATCCACAGAAACAGAAGCATAGCCAAGATTTTCCAATGCGCTGGGCAGTGTCTTCGCATGAAAAGCTACACCAGAGCTCTGAAGCATTCAAGGTGATGTACAAAAGATCAGACTGCATTCAGGTAACGGGTCATAGGCATTGTAAGACTCTGACAGCCACAGGCAGGACTCCCATTGGTAGATGCAGGATGGGATTTTATAGCTTCCCCACAGCTGGAGGACCAGAGTTTGTCTACACCGGCCTTTTCGGGATCAGAAAGGACATTTTTTTCCCGTGTTGGAAGAAATTGGACCATGCTTTATAAAAAAAAAAATTCCCCTCTGGATCAACTGTGGATATATGGTTTGGGATACAGAGGTTTTCAATGAGTTATTTTTCCTTTATATTGGTTGAAATAGATAAACTTGTTCCTTTTTTCACCCAAACTACGATATGACTTGGAGAGGAAAATATTGTTACAGTGGGCAAATCCAATCAGGGGAAGCAGAAGGGTGATAATTCCTCTTACTTCCTGCCCTGCAGATGGAACAGGAAGTGAAGGGAAGTCCCCTCTTAGATGTTTCCAGAACGAGTGCCCATATTGGAAGATTTCCCTCTACTGCTGTTTCTGTGACGCCTCTAAAGTTTCCCATCACTTCCTGTCCCCATAAAAACGGTCACCGGGACAAAAAGAGAGGGCGAATCTTTCCAGCAGGAAACTGACTGACCTTTAACCTTTCCATGCTGCATCCGAAAAAAAAAAAAAAGTTTTGGCTCTCAATCCACTTTAAAACACATGTAAAAAAAAACGAACTCCCTTACTAATTTGACAGCATCGTCCATTGTGTGAGAGGCCACTGCTAAGATTTCAGTCTGAGGATTGAACACCTGCGACGAGGCGGTTGTCACCAGATTCATGATGGATTTCATCGGTTTGGGGTTTTTGGCTTGCAGACAGTCATCGAAGTTGTATATGTTCACCACCCCGGAGCTGGAGCTGAAAGATAGACCGTGAGTCAGACAACGCCAATGCATTGGTTGGTTAAAGGGAAGATGATGTTCAAAATCAGAATGGGAAAAGCGACATAGCCTCTTGAAGTGGATATAAACCCAAAAACAAAGTTATACGTTGCAGCTTACAAAAGCAGCCTCATATGTGCAGCCTTTCTTTAGGGTTTTTTCCTTTATTTTTACCTGGTGATCCTGCCAGTAACACACTTCGTGTCCTAGGGTGACAACTGTCGCTCACTGTACTGTATCTATGGAGAAACAGCTTTGTCACATACGATGGGGGTAACACTGCCAGTGGCACTTCCTGTCTTAGGGTGACAACTGTCGCTCACTGTACTGTAGCTATAGAGAAACAGCTTTCTCACCATAGGATGGGGTTACACTGTCAGTAAGACACTTCCTGTCCTAGGGTGACAACTCTCGCTCACTGTACTGTAGCTATGGAGAAACAGCGTGGTCACCATAGGTCAGGGTTACAAACAGCACCCCTTCTGTCTCCTGCACCTGTCTCCATATCATGTCTCCATATCATATCTCCATACCATAGAAGGAAGGTGTTCTGTAGTCCACAGAGACAAGTAGAGCAATGCGGAGACCGGCAGCACAGGCACGGAGCACAGAAAAGGCATCAGCTCAAAAGATTCCTGGTTGGATCAACAGGTATTTTTTGCACTTAATGACCAACTATAACAACTTGATTTTAGAGCTGCAACAGTTATTCGATTAAGTCGATTAAAATCGACATTTAATATTAAATGTATCAAACCAAAATGGAGCAATTAAGAGAAGTTCACTGTTGTGTGTATTGTGCAGAGACCCTATCACCAATCCATTCCAATTAAGAAAAACCTCTCGTTAAGGGACTCATAAGCATACGCTTAGCTATATTTGTTTACAAATTGCCACCACTGTGCTGAAAATCTATTTAATCACCTCCGACACATTCCAGACGCATGCAACTGATCTTCCCCGTCCCCTGCCAGGACCTTGGCTGACAGTAGGGCTGGGGACGGGGAAGATCTGCATCAGCAGGGTTTTCATACTGTGAGCATCTTCCTCAGTACCTACTAGGACATTGGTCAATGTCAGGGATGGGAAGGGAAAGCAGTGGAGTGTATGGAACACAAAGACATGGAGTTCTATTTTCAGCACTGCAGGGGCAAATTATTTTCAAACAAATACAGCCTAGCATATGCTTATGCGAGTACTTTAGCTTGAGATGCTTATCTTAATTGGCATGGGATGGGAACAGGGTCTCTTTAAGACCATCACTAGATCATGCTTACCCACAAGAGACATAGCGCCCATCCTTTGACAGTGCCAAAGACGTTTCGCACAAGCTACCATCATCCTGAAACCGGTTGAGGCAGCGTCTGCTTTTCACATCCCAAACATACACGTCGCCGTCACCTAGAGCAGCAGAAGAATCAGAGCTAGTAAAAACTAGAATTCAGAATAAAAATGCCAAGAATCTCTAAGAGCAAAATAATAAAGAGCTAAAAAAGACCAAAAACACTATGAACAAGCATGTACATACATGAACAATTTTTTAAATAAATCAGATCAAGAGGCATCATTTAACTTCCCTGGCGGTATAGCTCAGGGTTATTTTTCCATACCATAAGCGGTAACCCCGAGATACACTCGGGAATGCCGCATATAATTTAGTTACCTTGTCCCTCAAGCCGCGCTGTGTTCTCCGGCCGATCCCGGCATCCGTCTTCCCCCCTGCGTACGCGCTGCAGGGGGGGCGGAACCGGTGGGATATTAAAAAAAAAAAAAAAAGAGAACGAAAAATGACACAAAAAAAAAGGAAAAAAAATCATACCGCCATGGAGGTTAAGTCCTTACACCACCATCGGGGGGAAACATTTTAGGCTTTAATGTCACTTTAAGGAAAGCGTTACTTTTACTGAAAAAATGATGTGTGTCAGCAGGTATTCACCCCCCTCGTGTGTCCCCACAAGTGAACATTTAACATCTTACTTGAACTTGAGAAGATTTTACTGCTGTCTGCTGTGAAGGAAGCTTTTACAGCTGATGCGTTCATCTTCATACTTCCAATCAGCTCTTTAGTCTTAATAAAACAAAACAATAAAAACAATAATGAAGCTTCTTGCGACTAGTCTGTCTAAATGCCGGTCTAACCCCCCACCTCCCCTAATCGTTTCATCATAAACATTCCAAGTTTTCCGGTGTTGGTTAGAAGAGCCATTGTTGTATTTCTATTTCACTAGAGGAACAATAATGAAGGAAAAAAGCCATGCTAACAATTTCAGAACAAATATATTCGGCCATTGCCCCTCTCTTAGTTCCTAGATTACCTTCATAGACAGTAGATGTATATAGCCGGAAGACCCATTAAGCAGCAGGTATGCTCCATTTGGAGACACTTCAAACTCTTGAACGCATTTTTCCTCCAAGCCTAAAACAGAGGTAATTCAGTTCAGCTGCACAGAAAACATTTGCATATGTTCATGTCAAACATCAGATCACAAGGCAGCTAAAAATTAAAGCTGAACTCAGGCCTTCCCCTCAGTCTAGCATAGTTGTACAGGCTCCTTTCTAGGAATGAACATGCCGACTCTGATTTCATTGCACACTGTGAGCTTTTCATAATGTGCATTAGGAGCCGCAGTAAGTCAGATAGAGCCATCTTAATTTCCTGGCTGGAGGATGTCTCCCCAGCCTCACTGTCCCCGGCCTGCCCCTTTCATCCATTGGATTTCAGTTTATTCAATTATGGCGGCTTAGCATCACATGTAATCCTTACCTAGGGCGGTCTGCACCAATGCAGTCTGCCCAGGAATGACCACTCCACCAGACTAACTTGCCCTTTAAGGCATTTTGATATTCACATAATGTCTCCCAAAACCCAGCCCTCTGTATCAGGGTTGAGGGCTCTTGGGAGGAATACTGAGACAGGATAATCAAGCTTTTTTTTAAGAAGCTACATAAAAGCACCCTGCCGACCCCCTCCCACCAGCCATGATCTGTTTGTATTGAATTACATTGTATTGAAAAATCAAAGGCCCCGATGAAGGGCTTGAATTTTGGCTGACTCCTGCTCATGTTTACACCCCTACCGAGCTGTGGGGGGCCATGCAAACTCCACCCTGCTTGCCACAACTTGATAAAAAAAAAAAAAATTATCTGAACTGGGTAGAAAATAATCAACCAAACAGTAACTGCATCCTATCAGATGCCTGAATACATAAGCCAGCAGTGGAGATTCCTCCACTCACATGGTTAGTGCAGATGGGGGAAATCTACTGACTTTCTCAAGTTCGGCCTGCCAGCTAACAACAGAAACTTTAACCATGTATGGTGGCCCTAAGAAAAGACAAGAGAAGAGAACGGAGAGGAGATGAAATAAGATAACAGAAGAGATGGAGCAGGAGAGACGCAAAGGTGAGAGCAGAGAGGAAAGCAAGAAGTGAAAGAAGACCAGAAAGAAAAAAAAGGAGATGTCTGACACAGGGGTAAGAGGATGAAACCACTGCACATGGCAGGGGACACAGTCATCCACAACTCTGGAAAGTGATGAATGCAGAGGAGACTGGTAGAGGCTACAGCAGTGTAACAAAGGTAGCTCTTATACTCACCCCTCTGGGCCACCAGAGGGGTGAGTATAAGAGCTTTTCTATAACGGAGCTTTTTTTGGGCTTTAGTTCTCTTTTGGATCACAGAAGCGCATTTACTAATGCCGAGTTCCCAAACTCGGCAAATAGCAGGCTACTGCCCTCTATATACTGTCAGACAACAGCTGCTCTGCAGACAGAAAGCATCCCAACAATTTTGTTTGGATTCAACCCTCTGCCTGACTGACAGCTGGCTCTGCCTCTCTAGAGCCAAAGCCAGCTATGCCTGCCCCCTCCCCTGTCTGTCCCTCCAATGAGCGCAGGAGGAATAGAGAGAGGGGAGAGAGAATCCCTGCGGGGAGTGGCGACAGACAGTCATGGCTCTTGGCTGGGATCAGCGGTTTGTGAACGTTCAGTTCACTAGCTCACACTCCGGCCCAAACTATTGGAAAGAGTACATTTTATACTCCCAATACTTCTCCTTTAATTAGTCAGATAAACATAGGCTGCCAACAAGCCTGCAGACAGTGTTGGTATTCCTGATTGGAGAGCTCTGCATGCAGTGCAAACTGAATGTCATGGATGTACCCTGTAACAAAATGATTTGTTTAAACAAATACTTTTTTTTTAATGATAGAGAGCTGCATTCATATCCCCCAAGTGCCATGTTTTAAATTTTAAAATGTCGCAAAACAAGATTATTTTTTGGCTTTCAGCAGGAGCCACACTTACCTCTTATTCTAGGTACAGGTATAATGCCGCCTCCTATCATGTCGTAGACGTAAAACATTTTTTGCCGCAGCCCAGTGGCGATCACTTGTTCCCCATCAGTGCTAAACCGAGCCTTGAAAACCGGAAATCTTTCCAAATAGATGCTTTGTATCTTGGGATTTAATTTGCCATCAACCTAGAAGCAAGAGGTATGAATTGTGATGGGTACTATGAAGCTAATAGTTTATTGTAATTGTGCACTCTCCTTGTATATTCATAAATTATTCACCCTGCTTTTCTTACTCTACCTATTGTTTATTTTATTACAGGTATTTATATAGTGCCGACAATTTACGCAGTGCTGCACATTCACATCAGTCCCTACCCTCTAGGAGCATAAAATCTAAGGTCCCTATCTCACATGCATACATACAGGGCCAATGTAGACAGGTTCTAATTAACATTCCAGCATGTCTTTGGAGTGTGGGAGGAAACTGGAGTACGACAATAATGGCCCACTCACACCTCTCCAATGCGGTGTGTTGTGGGAGTGCACACATCAATATAAAGTTACCGCAATGCAAGTTAAGTGCCTTAGTGCATTGGGGTATCATTCATTTTCAATAGCTCAAAAACTGCAAAACTGGCACACGATGCTATTCCAAAGACATGCATCTGTAGAAAAAAAACAAATGTAGTTATCTTTAGTACAGATGTACGTTGAATGGAATCTGATTTTCATTGGAAGAGCATCGTGTGCCAGTTTTGCAGTTTTTTACAAGGATGCATGACAGGTCAGCTGTGCGTTTTATTTTTTTAGTCTCCATTTTCAATGGCAGCCCATCGTACAGCGGGCACAAATGTGTTGCAGTGTGCTGTGTGGGCAAAAATGGTCAAGGTCTCTTTTTTTTGTCTATTGCATTGGTACACCCTTGATTTGGATGGGCTGCCTTACAAAAAAAAACAAAAACCCCAATAGCGTGCAACAGAACACACCAGAATGAACAGGCCTGAATGGGCTCCTAGAGCTCAGTTTGTACTCGGGCTGTGTATATCCAATAAGAAACTCATTATTTACTCTGGTCGATTTTTTTGTTGGCAGGTTGTGCATTTTAATTATCTATTTAAAGTTAAAGCAAGCAAGCATTTAAAAAAAAAAATACATAATTGTGCATTGATTTAAAAATGATTAATGCAGCTAGTAGTAATACCTAAATTTGAATTGACAAAGAGACTATGTGCCCTGTATTCACATCTGCTGAGAAGTGCAGGAGACTATAGCAGAGAGGTGGATTCACCGGCCGGTTGCTGCTCCCTCACTGTCCAATCACAGAATGGGGGGCAGGGAGGAGACCAAGCTGTGTGACATAACTGCACCAGAGAAGAGTCTGGTCACCAGGCTGGCTGTGCCCTGTAGCACAACTGTGTAAAGCTGTCCACACACCTTTTATCCGCAGATTTTCTGTGGTCAGATGGAAAAAGTGCACCAGATTGGCCCAGGTGGAGATTACTCCATACACACAGTTAAGTGTAGATGGAGGAATCTGTTGCACCTTTTCCATCTGACCATAGAAAATCTGCAGATAAATTGTGTGGGCAGCTTTAATCTGAGAGCAATACAAGTCCTCCAACTGGTAAAACAGCTCCCAAATATGTCATCTATGCATTTAGCCCTTTGCCTGGAACGTCACCTTTGAAGGTGGAAATGACTGCACAGGGAAAAAGTAGCAGCACACTCCCGAGGTCATCCCCTGCCCATTTTGCTCTCTCCCCCTGCCAGCATGTTCCCCGTTAGCAAATAAAGCAGCAGTACCTTACTGGCTGCTAGAGTAACCACTCCCAGTGTTAGTGCTACTGGGCACAGGAGGAGGATATAAAGACAAACATCTTCCTGGAGTTTAAATTGCAGTGCACAACTCACGGGATAATAAACTACAAGCACATGCAGCGTACCTGAAACAGCGACACTGATCGATCAAGGCCGGCCGTCATTACAACTTGTGCAGAAGGATGAAACTGTACTGTTGTGAGTGGCCCTGTACACGGACGTTCATGATTAGCATTCAAGCATGGCTTCATCTGAAACATGTATGAAAAGATTAGTACATTAAAGCAAAAAAAAAAAAAGCATAATAAAGATAATAATATTATCACTAAGGCCTCATTCACACGAGAAACGGCCAGCATGTACAGCTCCGTGCATGGCCGTATCGTGCAGCTTCCGGGAAGGACAGGTGCTGCGAGTGATTAGTACGCAGCCCCTATCCTTCTCTATGGGACTACATGGCCGTATGCCGACCTACGCTCACCTCAAGTGCACATCCGTACATGTGCAGGTGTCCTGGCTCAGACGCAGACAGGGTCGGACACCTGCACCCACACGGACAGGGCGTGCGAGCGTAGGGCGGCGTATGGCCACTTAGTCCCATAGAGAAGGACAGGGGCTGGGTACTAATCACACGCAGCACCTGATCTTCCCGGGAGCTGCCCGATACGGACGTGCACGCAGCATGGAGCTGTACGTGCCAGCCTTTTCTCGTGTGAATGAGGCCTAATAGGCAACTTAGTAACTAGCTCAAATAAAACTAAGACTACAACTTTATTTTTAATTTCAAAAAGAAAAAAACAAAAACACTAAGGATCTGAAAATATCAGATATCCAATGAGCGCCTAAGTTCCTGTTGTGAGCCGACAACACAGAGCCTCTGCTGCACTTAAATCCCAAGCACTGTTGTCAGCTATGCCCAGTGCTCCCCTGATGAACTAGAGATCACCACAGTCTTCTGTCATGCAGATGAGCAAAGGGGGTGGTGCTCTCTTGCACAGCAAAGGAGAACTTGGGCAGAGCTGACAACACTGCTTGAAATTTCAGTAGAGCACTGTGATGTGAGCCCAAACAGGAAGTACACTGAGTTTGTCACAGATCAACAGGTATTTTTCCTGCACTTTCAGCATTTTTAAAGCTATAAAACATGAGGAAATTTGCATGTGATGCAGGGATGTACCCGGATTTTGCCCAGATATACACTTGAATCACTCTCTGTAGAGTAGTTGGATGGTTGCCACACTGTCAGTCCTGCAAAAGTGATCAGGCGGCTCCAGGGGCATCCCGAGGCCGGGTGACACCCAGAGCGGAGAAGGGGGTGACACCCCGCCGTGACGTCTTGATGGTCGCCAGCAGCAAGAGGAGGGGACGTTCACCAGGCGGGATGAGTTATGCCGCCGGGTCCCCTCCTCTCGCCTTACACTGTCGGGCTCTCGGTCCATGACCGAGTGCCCGACTTTTCATAGGGGGGGACACCAAATGACTGTCAGTCATTTTGGTGTCACCCCTCCAATGGTGGCACCCGGGTGCGGGCCGCACCCCCTTGTGACGCCACTGGGCGGCTCCCATAGCCACCCAGATTACTTTAACCTAAAAGCCCCAAGAAAGGCAGAAGCTGCAAGATTGTTTTGACACTTTCAATACCCGGGCGTACAGAAAGAGCTTAACTGGTTGAATATATAACCTCATACTTGATGCAGCCTTGTGCCCAATTATATCATCTTACCTCCAGGACACCCTTCAGAAGTGAAGTGGACTTCGCCAACAAATTTCCAGTTTTACGCAGCAAGTTATCTTCATCCTCATCTTCGCTGTCATCGTCATCTGGGAAAGAAATCATTGTTAAATCAATCTTAAACATGACACCACACAGCCGTCATTGCTGTGGAAGGTATCGTTTGGTTTATTATGACTCTGTTACTAAGCTGCCACTTTAAAAAGTGAATCAACATAATTAATATTTGGAGTAAATTCACTTTTTCTGGCCGTACAAAAATGCTGCCCAAGAGCATCCTAGTGTGACCCAAAGCCTTGGAAAAGATCATAAGGCCTCTGGTAACAGATGCATTGTGTGCGTTTCACATCATTAGAGTCTAGTGATGGGCGCGGGCGTGTTCGCAGCGCCAATCACAGGCACGGAGACATTTCCCGATCTCTGCACCTGCGGACCGGGATAATGTCTCAGTACCTGTGATTGGCGCTGCGGCGCTGTCAGCTTCCTGGCGGGCTCGGCACGTGGAGCTGCGAACACGCCCGAGCCCATCACTATTAGAGGCAGCAAAGAGTATTTTCTTTGTTTTGAGTTAGGCAATCCCTGTCTGGCTGAATTGCCCTCAAGTGATAGAATCAGAAAAAAAACATAATCATTGTGAAGCACATCTGTAAAAAATAAGTCAAGGCAACTGGACTTGCTGTATTTTTCTTGAAGATCTTTCACTGGTCATCCAACCAGCTTTCTCAATTCTGAATTGAGAAAGCTGGTTGCATGGCCAGTGAAACGTCTTCAAGAAAAATACAGCAAGTCCAGTTGCCTTGACTTATTTTTTTTATAGATATACCTTGACCTGGATAAATGAGAACATCCACAGACATTGTGAAGCACAATTAAGCAGGAAGCAGAGTCTGACGCTAGAATGAGCCAATAAAAGTGCCACATGAACAAATAAAATTACACGCTGGTATTTTTACAGAATTAAAAGAATGTATTTGCTGCTTACTTCCTCATTCCCCATCTAGGTTACCATGATGTCCCCTTGGTTGTCGGTCGTTCGCCCCAGCCTCCTGGGATACACGACACATCCCAGGAGGCTACAAGACAGTCTCTGCATGTCCTTCAGTCTGACGCATGCTCAGTGAGGGGCCAACTGTGGGTGATCAGTAATCACAGCCGGCTCCCAATTCCAAAATGCCACCATTCTGCCTAACAGCCTGTGAGGACTTTAGGTTCTCAGAAGTGAGCACCAGACTTCCAGGCCAGGTATGTATTTTCTGTAAGTCAGCAGCTACAGTACTCCAGGTGGAGTTCCTCTTTAAAGTTAATAGAACTATATTTAGGTGCTAATGCAAAAAGGCCAAAACAGAGCGGGTCTCACCTTCTTTGGAAACTCTTTTCTTGGAGTCAGTGGACGCCCATGAAGGAACACCGCCCATTGCCTTCTGGAACCTATCACGATAAACAACAAACTACGATCATTCAAACTGGAAAAAAAGACAATAACGTTTATCACCAACAGTTATACTTTACTTGAAATAAAAGGGGCACAAGTCAAATTATTACTCCAATCGAGTGGTGGGCAACTCCGACCCTGCAGCTGTTGTGGAACTACAAGTCCCATGAGGCATTGCAAGACTGGCAGCCACAGGCATGACTCCCAGTGGCATGTTGGGATATGCAGTTAGGGCCTGTTCACATGATTTTCTGGTCCTGATCAGGTGCGGATCTGCAGACACGGTGCTATGTGTTTTTGTCGCGCTCCAGTTAAAAATAATTAAAAAAAAAATTATTTTTTCGTTTTTCTGGACTGGGGCTGTCAATATGTTAGCTGCAGTGCAGTGTGTTTGACGTTTCCTGACCGTACAAAATGTGACATGTAGTATTTTGAAGGCGAGAACTGTAGCCCATAAAACACATAAGGATACATTTTTAGTGCAGGAGCGTACGGATCAGGTCAGCACAGAAAACGGACGTCGCGTGAACAGGCCCTTAAAGTTGGAGGGCCAGAGTTGCCCATTCCAGTACCCCAAGCAGTACAAGCACAAATTACTAAAAATTGTTGTTCTCAAGCTCCCCCCACAGTAGGCAGCCTAGAACACATGATCGCTGGGTATCAGGGGCATTGTGAATGTTTCTATACATTACAGACTGCGAAGAGTCTATGATTTTACAACAAACATGTGGTTTAGACTTGCAATAAAATGAGGGGGGTCAATAAAGCCCCAAAAAAGTGCAGCTCTAAGGACTGATGCAGTGGCAGTCTGTCAGATGTATCCTATGTGCAGATCAGTGTACCAACGTGTACGCCCTCTTCATCAGGACATAGCTTACGTCTCGTATTCCACTGTTAATCGAAAAATTAAAGTTTATCTGCACTAGGAGAAGGCGCCCCTCTCGTTTTTGTCTTGTAGTGCCTCCAGTGTCCCCTTTTGGAGCTGCCTCCCGCATAGATGCCATCACATCCATTCTGTCGCCAAGACTGTATATGATAACTTCTGGCGCTGCTTTTCTTTGCATTTTTCTTGTTGATTGCCTTGCTCTATGGGACCATAGTAGCTGCCTACAGGTTTTCTCTAAACGGCATCCAAACATCATAATTTTTCCAAGACAAGACCATCTTACGATACGATCATGACCACCTCTATAGAAGATCGCTATAATAGAAGAACCAACCTATTTAACGAATTTATCACCAAGGACTTTTCCAAAGCCAATCAAACTGATATACCGTCTCAGATTTGTTCGGAAAATTATTTTACCAAACCTATGATCAAAGCATTCTACAGTTTGAAAAATACATTAGAAAAAGAAATGCTCCACTGGTGGGATGCGGAAACCCTTAAGCATTATCTCAAGGCCAAATTGATCCCCAGAGGACTCCACATCACCAAACAGTGCAGCTTTCACGATCCAGATCTTAGAAAGACATGGGACGAACAAGCTCTTAATTGCTCTAGTGAGTGGATAGCTCTGATAGTTAAACAGAGAGAAAGACTTCTGGAAAACACAAGAGCTAAAATTATCACACTCACCGAGCAACTTAATGAGTACAGCAATCATCCCAGTTTCTCGGAATGGGATTTATCCATTCACAATAAGATCCTAAAATTTGAAAAAACTCTGCTCGACAAAAAACTAGGGAAATTTGAGAGGGATCAGGATGACTTCCAGGACGGCAATATCTTCACTTGGAAGAGACATGAGCCCTGGCTCTCGTCCTGTATCCACTAGACCATACACACTACGGCCTATAAAGGAAGCCAACAAACAACATAGGTCTGACTACAGGCTGCAACGTCATCCTCGACCTAGAGGAATGACTCAGCCCCGACCTATGAGGCCCCCTCCCCACAGAAACAGTTGGCAAACAGCCAGACCACAGAGATCATTATATACACACCCACACCATCAGGAACACCCTCTTACATATCAATCTCGTGTATGCGATGAACATCTGATGACACGCTCCAGACCACTATCCTCTGAAGACCCTAGGGCACATCCTAAATCACCAGTTCATCCCCATACACAGTCACATCCCAGACCTTACATTGACCCCAATAGGAGGACAAGTCTCACCAACACTCCTCGTAAGATCACTGCTATCCATCGGGGGTCCTCTACTCCAGGTCCACGATCTTCAGATCCTTTAGATCGGGACCTGAAGAAATATGGCATCACCTCCCCAGTAGCCTTTCGACCGCTGTCCAGTGTTCCCACACATGGCGATAATTCATGGGCTTCAGCGGTCGATGAACAAGAAATACTATCCGAATGGAACAAAGTGGGGGCCAGACCCAAAAATCAAAGTCGTAGCGAAGGGACTGTCCTCAAAGAGGTCGAATCTTTTTTGGCATTGGCACATACCCCCAAAGTAAGAAAAAAGAAATGGTCACCAAACCTAAGAGGAAAAGAGGCTGTAGAGCCAGATGGGAGGTCCAGCAAAAAAGGGAAAAGAAGTCCTTAGCCACTATTCCCCCAAACTACGATACTATAAAAATTTTCAATCTATCCTCTCACCCTCTGGATGAGATAGAAAAATCAGTCCTAAGAAAAGGACTTAGTTTTGCTCCCAATTCCTCACCTAACGAATTCTCCATTTTTTTAGACCTCCATAGGTTTATACGGAAACTCACCCTCCACCGACATTTTAGTATAAAAGACTTAAAGATGAAAAATGCCCTACCATTAGAGGGTGAAGGAGCCGTAGGGCCAGATTCAGACGCGGATGAACAGGCTCTTCTTGATTTGGAAGAATTATGGGATGGTCGAGCATCCTCTTTTGAATGGACCCCCAACATAGATCCCAACATCAGACATACTAATTTTAGACCACAATCGATCTTTTATCCTCACCACTCTAAAGGGAATTTCCTTCCCACGTTTTATCAGTTAGTCTACACAGATCTTAAAAAGCTTTGCTCCACCAAAGAAGGAGACCAATGAATCTAAGCCAAAAAGAAAAAGTGGCCATTAAACAACTCAGCAACAATATGGATCTAGTCATTAAACAGGCAGACAAGGGAGGGGGTTTGGTCATTTTGAGTAAAGAGGATTACATTACAGAGGCAACTCGACTATTGTCGGATAAGTCCACTTACCTTACCCTAAAAAGTAATCCTACTAGTGAATATAAGAACACCTTGGAAGATTTTCTTAAATGTGCATTATCCCGAGGTATTTTAACTAAACCAGAATTCAATTTTTTATTTTCCAAACATCCTTGTATTCCCTATTTTTATTATATCCCCAAAATTCATAAGGACCCTATTAGACCTCCAGGTCGACCTATCATAGCGGGCATGGACAGCCTGACTTCGAATCTTGCCAGCTACATAGATCATTTTTTACAGCCACTTGTTACCGAATTAGCCGCTTATGTCAGAGATTCTGGACACATTTTAGAAATTTTAAACAACTATCAATGGAAAGAGGGCTATCGCTGGGCATCGTTGGATGTGGTTTCGCTATACACGTCCATCGAACACCAATTTGGTCTGCAAGCAGTGCAATATTTTATGACCCAATCAGGAGATTTTAATTCCGAACAGGCCAATTTTATCATTAAAGCCATCAAATTCGTTTTAACTCACAATTACTTTACGTTTTTAGATACCTTTTATATTCAACTTAGAGGTACTGCCATGGGAGCCAGTTTTGCACCTTCCTATGCAAATTTATTCATGGGGTATTGGGAAAAATTGTATATTTGGTCCCATAACCCATTCGGATCGAAATTGGTTTTATTCGCAAGGTATATTGATGATATCATCATCATTTGGGACGGAACAGACGAGGAATTTTTAGCTTTTGTGGATTACTGCAAAGGAAATCCGTTCAAACTGGATTTTACCTTTGTCATGGATAAATGCAGCCTTGTGTTTTTGGATTTAGAGTTGGGGGTTGACGACACGGGTACGATTTCCTCCAAAACGCATTTCAAACCCACTTCGGGTAACTCCTATCTCCATGCCAGGAGCAACCACCATCCCAGGTGGATCAAAAATGTCCCAGATGGACAGTTTGGCAGATTGAGGAGAACGTGTACCTCTAACTCTGACTATGAGGCGTTGGGAGCAACACTAATTAAGAAATTCACAGATAAGGGGTACAATACCAAGATGATTGAAGAAACTTATAGTAAACACCTGGCCCCCATCCCCAAAAAGGAACGAAACGATGTTAACACCTTTAGGTTCAACTTCTGCACACAATATAACGATGATGCCTTTCGGATTTCAAAAATACTGAAGAATCATTGGCGAATACTTAAAGAGGATCCTGTGCTCAAACAATCTCTCCCAAGTCGGCCCCATGTTATATACAAGAAGCCCAAGGACCTCCGTAGCTTAATAGCTCCCAGCAGACTAAAAAGCACAAAAAGGGCGAATGCAGGGAAAGGTCTGTTTGGGCAAACAGGATGCTATAAATGCAATATACATAGTTGTGGGGCATGTCCATTTTTGTGGCACCGCAAAAAACATGTCAATCATCCTGGAGGACAAATGCTCCCAATCAAGCAATTTATTATTAATTGTGGGTCAAGCTACGTAATTTACGGCATCATTTGCCCTTGTGGCAAACTATATGTAGGGCGGACCACACAAACTCTAAGGACTAGGTTTGGAGAGCACAAAAGAAAAATTCTCAAAAAAGCAACTGACCATTCTCTCCCTCGACATTTCGCCGAAGCCCATAAATCAAATCCAGAGGGCCTGAAAGTATTCGGAATCGAAATGATACCCGACACCCTAGATGAAGGCCTTAGGTTTAAGAAATTAGGCCAGCGAGAAACCTTCTGGATATATTCCCTCAAAAGCTTGTACCCCTTAGGGCTAAATGAAGGATTAGAATTGACCTCTTCACTTTGAATCTCTCTTAATCGCCCCTGATCCAACGTTGCTCTCTGCTCCTCTTGATCATTGGTCGTGTCCCCTTATGTAGCATCCCATCATGGTCCTTCCCCCACCCCATAGTTACACCACCACACAGTAGTACATGGGCCTTATGTAGTGATCATGGCCGTTCAGAAACACGTAATATTATCCTTTTTCTCTGTACTAAATCAATCCGTATGTGTATTCGATTTGAGTTTTTTTAACATCACATATGACTTATATTGTCACTAATTTATTATATATCTATATATTTTTTATATATGTATATTTTTATTCTCATGCCCATAGATAATTTACAGAGCACTCAATTGCTCATGATATTTATTGATATGGTATTTTAGCTTTTAACAATATTTGTATGATCATTATGACAACCATTATGACTGATGTGTCTAATATAAGGATTATGTATACAATCGTCAGAAAGATATGTCCTCATGGTATATAGTATTGTGGCCTCTAGAAAGACATGTCCTTAACAGAACAATAGCTTTCAGTCTCTCCCAGCTTATGTTTCGTTATCATTCCGGCAGTACGAGATCCCACATCTCCATTTTCCACCCGGTGACAGTCTGACAGGGACACAGATAACACAAAACACTCCACTCGGTTTTTCGCAGCTCCTATTGGCTGTGAGACCGAGGTAACGGCCCACTGAGAAAGACTTTATTCTAATGAGGCCAATGCAGCCCGCCTTCTCCCCACTCGGACACCTCCCATTTATCTTATTAAGCCGTATCCTATCAGGAGCTTCGACTCCCTTTATAAACTAAGTGGGGACGAGACGTAAGCTATGTCCTGATGAAGGGGGCGTGCCCCGGAAACGCGTCGACACGTTGGTACACTGATCTGCACATAGGATACATCTGACAGACTGCCACTGCAATCAGGCCCATGTGACTGTGTCTCCACCGCAATCTATAGAGAGAGCTCCGATAGGCAATGAATGCCATTGAATCACCTACTCTTCTTGGAGTCTTGTGTGAAGCTTTTTTTGGCTAAGTGTCTTCTCCGCTTGACTCTTCATGATGTCTTTCCGATAACGATGGGTCATCTCGACGCTGCAAACAATAGACAGAATACAGAAGATCAGCCCTTGCTCTTATAGCCTCAGTTGGGGTTAGAAATAGCATTCAAACACACAAATTACTGTAATAAAAAATACAACCTGGGCTGACCAACTCAAATTCTCTTTCAATTCCAGCACCAAAAATATAAAGTACACTCTGTTATCTGGTATTCAACTAACCAGAGCTCTCATCTAACCAGTAAAAATAAAAATCCCCTGTGTACTCGCTGTTCTGCTCATCTGTGGCATGTATTATCCTGGAAACGATCGGTGGTCTATTCGTCTTAATTTGATTTTGATTACTGCATTTCTAGATTAATAGAAAGTCGATACAGAGTTAATGTTATGGTATAGTACGGGGTATGGCATTAGTTAGACCTATTTTTAATAGTAACTCTCAAGCAACTAGAAACGACATCCTTTATCCGGAAACTACCAATCCCCGTGGATGCCGGACAACGGGGAGTTTACTGTAGTATGAAAACTACATCTTGTGTTTAATACAAATTGAGCTCTACCCCCTCCAGGCTTTAAAGGGGGAAGGAAAACCCGGATAACGAACTTCTCTTATTGGCTCTATTTTGGTCTGTTAAATAGACCGATAAGAGTTTTGTCATATCCGTTTTATAAATGTAAAAAACAAAGAAATGTGTGAATATCCTGACAGAAATCCAGTAAGACGATAACATTCATTAGAGGCAGAGGGCACAGGAAGCTAATTACATACTTCCAAGCTATGCCTGAAGGCTACAAAAAAGAGTTACTCTTAAATGTTATGGAGAATGGGCGGTGGGGGTGTTTGTAGTCTTGTCCTAGGGTGGTAACAATGCTGAAAAGGCATGTCAATGCCTAGGATGGCTTTTATGTGGGTCTGGATTTTTCGCCAGTATGGATCTTGGGGCACTCCCACCATAGCTGGATCTTGGGGCACTCCCAACAGATATGCAGGTGAGTGCCCATCATACCACAGTCACGCCAGCAGAGAGACGACACTGAGTGGTAAATACGGTGCAAGCTATGAGGAACGCCGTACCACTGAGTGAGTAGCTTATATTTAGTCACTTGTACTTTAGAGTCGATGGAAGAGGAGTGAGCAAATTTAAGAATATTGGTCAACTCTGTCAGGGCCGTAGCAAGGGCGAGGCGACTGAGGCTCTCTCCTTGGGCGCAGCCAGCAATGAGAAGTGGGGCTTCTGCTCTGGATCCCCGCTGCTCTCCCCCATCAGTATGCAGCAGGGATCCGAGGAGAAATGAAGGAAGCGCCGCAGCCGCGGGGTTGGGTTGGGGTGAGGAGAGGGAGCTGAGCCGTGAGGAGAGAGCCAGGATCTGACAGCCGGCGGCTCTCTCTCCTCACCGCTCGGCCATGCTGCTGTGATGTTTGAGTGTAAAGGTCCACTTTTAGCTCCTGTGGAATGGATGGCATACCCATACCAGGCATTTTTGCTCCATGTATTATCTAATATAAAATGAGCCTAAAAACCATGTCTAAACATATATCCTGCCATTTTAACCCACCTTTCATCCAGCTCATCATCTTCATCAACCCAAGCTGGCTTCTTGGCTGATACGGTTTCCTTTAGGTGTTCATCGTCGGAGTCACTCTCCAGAAGATCTGCACTGGCATCAGGTCTGGTCTACAATACACAAAACACGTCACACAACACTTCTGATACAGCACATTACAAGGCTCAAAATAACCTCACGTAGAGAAATTCTCACAACTGACAGAACAAGCTTTTACTGTAGGACAGGAGACAAATGAGTGTCTTTGGTATCAACAAAGTAGATGTGGGAAGGAAGACTGATACAGTTTAAAAGCCATACGCTGGTGTAGCTGCTGTTTTGTTTCACCAAAATACAATTCTGAGCACTCCTCACTGCACTGGACTGCATACACAATGTTGTTCATCTTGTGTTTTGGCATTGGGTCTTTTAGGTGAACCAGCTGTTGCCCCAGTGTCTGCTTTAAACCCAGCAATACACTGGGTTTAGTACGAAGGACTGTCTATGAGGTATATGCAAGGCGCTTTATAGTGCTCCCTAGGCATGTCCCGATACCACTTTAAGACTAAGTACAAAAAATTTCCCTCAGGTACTTGCTGATACCAATTACCGATACTTTTTCTTAGGGCAGTTTCTCACCATGACTAAATACAGATGTCATCAAAGCAGAATATAGATGTTCGCAGAGCACAATACATCATCCCAACAAAGCAGCAGCACAATAGATCCCACTGGGGGGCATGTGGATCTCTGCAGGGCTCTAAATGTTGATCGGACGGGTGCCAGTGTCCAGGGCTCTCCATAGCTGTGGCAAGAAGAAGGAGCAGGAGGTATAGAACCGGATAGGCACTGCCAGGGACAGGTACTGCCAGGTCCCCAGCAGGCTGCCGAGGTCCCAACAAGCGCGGCAACTCAGCAGCCGCTGCGGTTTAAACATTTTATAAAACGGTATCGGCCTTACCAATTGGGGGCATTTTCTTAAAGGAGAACTATGGGGTTAAGGCTTTTCCCCATAGTTCTCCTTAGGGTAACGGGAGGACACAAACTAGCGTCCTCCCGTCACCCTAGGCTCAGTATACAGCGAGCTACAGCTCATTATATACGGAGACGCCGCAGTTGAAGCAGATCCCGACAATTGTGCTGGGATCTGCCCAGCTGCGTGAGTGACAGCTGGCTCTGCCTATCTAGAGGCAGAGCCAGCTGTACCCGCCCCCTCCCCCATCCGATCCGCCACCCGCCCCCTCCCCGTCCTTTCCGCCAGTCAGCGCTGGCGGATCGGAGGGGGGAGGGGGGAATCCAGCCCCTCCCCTGTCACGGCAGAGAGCCGTGACAGGATCGAGAGGTGAGCGAACGCCGGTATGTGTTCACTTCCCGATCTACTGAGCCGACCTGTGACAGTCTCATTGTCACAGGTCGGCTAAAACTATGAGGTGAGTGAAAAGCACTCGCCTCATAGTTCTCCTTTAAGTACAAATACTGGTGAAAATACCTGGTATTGGCCCCGATACTGATACTAGTATCGGTCTTGGGAGATCCCTAGTGCTCCCCCCTAATACGGAGTGTCAATATCCCTCTAAGCCGGTCAATCAAGTTCCTATTTTCTGCATAAAATAATCCCAGCCTAACAAATGCAACACCAGCAGCCGCTACCTGTGATTAACACCAAGATACCTTTGCATCGCCCATAAGCCGTTCCACAAATTCATCCTCGCCACCAAAGACCAAGTCCTCCAGACATTTCTCTACAGCCGGCTTCTCTTGGAGAATCTTCAGGTTTCTCGCCCTCAGCTCCTCCTCTCCGGAGACTTTTTTCTGGTTGGAATTACCTCGCTGCCTTTTCCTCCGACGAGAAGTCTCCTCCGTGGCATTTTCGCCCTCCGCAGACTCCATTTTCCTTCTAACAGCTGAAAAGAAAAAAATCCAGTTACTCTACAGCACACGAAAAATAAGGGATCTCATTATAAATGTTTTCACACAACTTTCACCCAGGATTCGCACATTTTACACTTGTGATTGAAAAGTAATTTAGGTTCACAAATAACAGTTATAGTCATCTGATCCTCAGAGGCGGCTTGCTCTTAGATGAGTCCCTGGAGCCTCTCTCTCCCCCTCCACTGCAGCGGCCTAAAGTCCCAAGAGTCATCACATTCTATACACAGTGTATAGGATGTGGGGACACAAGGGACATACAAGCGACACAGCGGAGGGGGGAGGCAGAAGGGACTAATCTAAGTGCAAGTCGACTCCGAGGATCGGGGGAGCAACACTGTTATATTAGAACCTAAACAAATCAAAGCCTCACTGCAAGGGAATGGATGGGGGAATCTCCTCTGCTGGCTATTGTATTCCAACAGCTGCGAGTGTGCTGCTGTCAGACCACATGAACAGTGACTGCAGCACTGTTTGCCTGACAATATTTTGCCTGACTCCTCTAACAAAAGTTGATTGCCTTTTGTCGCACGGGGGGGGATCTGATGGAGCCACACATTGCTTGAATTTCAGCTGTAGGACTTCAGTAGGACTACATGTGGCCAGTGTATGGGCAGCTTGATGTAACGGCTGGAATCTTGGCCAATTCTTCCTGACTTGGCAGAAAACTGCTAACCGAACAGCGACTACATCCCATCAGCTGCAGTCATTATGCACCTGATACAGGGCTATATCTAGGGACTACACAGTCTTCAGGGACAGGGTTCTGTCTGGGAAGAACACAGACCTCTAGTACAGGGTTATATCTGAGGATGACAGATCTCCTGTCATAGTGATATGAATGTGATAAAACTTCGCCTTTTATTGCTGCAAGTCTATCACAGTTGTTGGCTATTCAGACAACTGTGGGTGCCGACTGTCAGAATATCGTAGCCGATAGGGGAGCCGCTGTTTAGTATGGATGGGAGAATCAAGTGGTTTTCCGTGGGGTTATAGGACATAAATAGAATTCTGTGCTGTGCTATTGGGCAGCGCTCGGCCCATAATGAGACGCGGTGATCCGGAGTCCACGGAAGAAAGGGAGGCTGACGTGTCAAAGTCATGTGACCTTTCTCTACCAGTATGAGTGCATATGATCCAACACATTCCATACAGCTTGAACACCTTTAGAAATAGGTGCTGCAGTGAAATAACAATGGTTGGCGCGGTTGTATCAAGCACCCACACATTAAAGAAGATCTATGGGGAGAGTGAAATACATTCAACCTCATAGTTAGAGTCGACGTGCGATACTGCAGCTGACACATGCCGGCTTTATAGATTGAGAACCGAACACTCGCATACCACCGATCACATAGTTCCTGATCTTCTCCCTGACCGAGTCACAGCTCCCTGTCTGTTCCTCCAGCATTTATGGAGGGACAGACGGGCGAGGGGGCGGGCACAGCTGACCCTGGCTCTAGAGAGGCAGAACCAGCTGTCAATCAGATAGTGGGTGGATCCCAACAACATTGTTGCTGTCAGCATATAGTAGGCAATAGCCCTCAGCAAATGTCCTCCTGTGACCCTGAAGAGAACTACGGCCACAAAAAAGGTTTGGACGTAGTTCTCTTTTACAGTTCTACAAAATGCAGGGACAGTTATTGCTACCAAACTGTGAGGTAATGTTTAGGGCCGGTGCAGACCTGTAGACGCACGTCCAGGGATCACGCGATTGTGCACAATTGCAGACAGCGATTTCCGCGTGGCCCTATTGATTTCAATGGGGTACAGCCGCGCGACAATCACACTTTGTTTTGCGATACACAACGTGTGGCATTTTGGGCCACCAACGTATTCGGAGACGCACAGGGAAACCACACGATTCGCCTGGCGCGACTGGGGTGCTATTAGAAAACAATGACACCCACAGCGTGATTGTCGATTATGGGTGACTCCGTCACGACGCACGTCTGCCTTGCAGTGCCAGATGACCCAAGTGTGCCCCGGCCCTTAAATAGAGACACCACTCTGTCCTTGCCTCCCACTTGTGCTCCTGCGTTGTCACCCTGTCACACAGCTTCTGTTGGAGACTGCAGGTGTCACCCGGGCCTCCGATGGAAGAGTAGAAGTGGCCACTTCAACACACCATTACACAGGCATGGTCCACTGTTGTCACCATTAGGAGAAATGTCATGAAGCCATCGCTGGAGTACAAGCAGACAGGAAGTGGCTACAAAAAGGCTGCAGGAGATCAGCTGATGTGACACAACATAGGATGGGGGGGGTGGGGAGAGAACACAAGGATTTAATTAACAAAAAATGGCAGCTTTTTATGACACACAGGACTTCAACATTCTCAATGTCCTTCAGTTCGGGCTTGCATCTACTTTGCTGGATAATGGGCAATGCAACGAGCGTGCAGGAAACCCCTAAAGGCCAAATCACGCAGCTGGAAGATGAGTGTTAGCTCCGGGAACCAGCCACGCTCTTCCCTGTACACTTACCTGCCTTATACGCACGTGGAGCTTCCTGTTGCCTCTTCCCCCAGAGCGGAACCCCGACCTCCACCAATCAGGAAGGCCGAGGACTTCCTCTCTTCACTGTAGCCCGCCCAGCCAAGGCGCCCGCTTCTCCCCACCACATTCTGCAAGCTAGCGCATGCGCATTACACACTCGTATCAAGTCCTGCCCACTTCCGGACCACCTGATATAAACAATGCCCAATTTCCTGTGTTCTATTTCCCGCTGCTTCTGGGTTCCCTTCTGCTTCTCATGTGCAAAACCATGCCCAACTTCCGTTCCTCATGGTACAAAGCATGCCCCACTTCCGTTCCTCATGGTACAAAGCATGCCCCACTTCCGTCCCTGCTGCTCAAACGCCTGCCCCTTTTCCGTGCCTGGAGCGTGCCTCACCACTAACGCCCTCTTCACGCCCCCTTCTCTGAGCCAATGCCTGCCCCACTTCCGCCCCTACTACTCCAAGCGCCGCCTTTTTCCCGCCCTTTACTTCAAGAGCTGCCAGCCTTCCGCCGGAAGTGGGTGGGCCGATGCTGACAGGAGCCAACGACAGAGCTCGGGGCGCGCAGGCGCGTTGGCTGGGAAGCTGCTGGTTTTGTTGATGTTGTGCTGGAGTTCATTGTTTTCAGGCTGAGCTAGGATTACGTTGCAGCGTGCGGTGGCTGAGGAGGCGGGAGAGCCTACAGGGGAGCCCAATGAGGGTCTGATGGAAAAGGCCAAGGAGCTGGTGAGTGCTGCAGGCCTGGGGGGGTAGGCGGTGCAGAAGGGAGGGGGGCTTTGTTGTTACTGCTGGGCTGCAGTGAGGCCTGGCTCTCTAGCCTGTGCCTGACCCTGGTCACCCCAGCTGTGTTGGGACTGCAAAACTCAGCCTGTGAGGTAAGCTTTGCAGGGCTTGCTGGGAGTTCTAGTCCCACTGCAGCTAGACCGCTCATACTGCACCAGAGCTGGAATCTTACACCTCCTCATGTCTGCTGTGCTCCTTCTGCATCTTCCCTGCAGGCCTGCGGTTGCCATGACAACCTGAGACTTGTAGTTGATGGGGGATTGCTATCTTTACAACATTCTGGCGGTACCAGTTCCAGCAAAGGGCGGCAGATTGCCTGAATTGGTGTAAGGTATTCAGATGGTGCACTCCTCTTATTGCCTTTTATCTGGACGTTGTGCACCTTCCCAATATGACATGTAGGTATTGAAGGGTTAAATGCTTGTTAAGTCCAGGGGTACAGGAACCCCCATGAAACCTAACAGGCATTTAACCCTTGCAGTGCAGAGGAGACCCTCCTGACATCATCATGTACGAGGCAGGACCGACAGTCCTGCGTTGTAAGTGAGGACGCCAAGGGGTCTGCCGACGTCCCAGAGCATCGGGGAGTGCACGCTACCGGAAATGTCGGGTCCCCTGCAGACGTAAGAGGAGAGTTTCTAACGGGGAGGCGTCCTGGCAGCACCAGCAGTGACAACATCAAGTACCCTCTCCCCAGATATGGCAGGTATGCCGAGTTTAGAAACATATGTCATGACAGGGTCACTAGCCTTCCTCTGGTCTGTGTTGCAAAGCTCCCTTCACTTCCTGTCTTGTGAAATTAGAGTCCCCCTACTTCCTGTCTGATAAAATCTCAGTCACAAAGACATGAAGTGAGGGGAAATCTCTGTAACGGAGTCCCGGTTAGCAGTAAAAAAAATCTGACTGAACATGCACTTTAATTCGGTTCAGTCAGATTTTTACTGCTATCCAGGACTCTGTTACAGAGATTTCCCCTCACTTCCTGTCCTTGTGACTGATTTCACCAGACAGGAAGTGATGGGATTCTAAATTCATCAGACAGGAAGTAAAGGGAGCTTTGCAACAGCAACACAGACTACAGGAAGGCTAGAATCCCCTTCAGCTTTTTATTTCTGTCTGTGTCCCTTTTGCAGCTTTTCCCCTCACTTCCTGTCTGGTGACACTATTCTTATTGAGGGGAAATCTCTCTAACACAGTTGAAGGAAACCTTTGCACTGCAGTTGCGCTGAAACTACAAATCCCGTCATAGCGGTGGGAGTTGTGCTTGTAGCTGTCAGTCTTGCAATGCCTTATGGGACTTGTAGTACCACAGCTGGAGCAAAAAGGGGGTGCAACCTGAGGGGTTCTGATCCTTCCCCCACTCCATCCAGACGCTGAAAAGAAAGGTTACACTTATTCAGATAGGCCTCCCTATTACATGTTGGTTAGACAATAGCGGACTATACACATTCCAAACTCATTGTACAATCTCCTTTAGGTCTCAACAACCAGGGTTGGCCAAAATCTGGCCCTCCAGCTGTTGTGGAACAACAGATCCCATGAGGCATTGCAAGATTCTCACAGACATGACTCCCAGAGACAGATGCATCATGGGATTTGTAGTTTCACCACAGCTGGAAGGCTGGTGTTTGCCTACTGCTGGATTATCCGGGTCAGATTATAACAGGGGTAGCAAACCTCAGGCCCTCCAGCTGCGGTGCAACTACAAATCTCATGATGCATCATGCCACTGGGAGTCATGTCTGGGGCTGTGAGAATCTTGCAATGCCTCATGGGATTTGTAGTTCCACAACAGCTGGAGGGCCTGAGGTTTGCTACCCCTGGATTATAGCATATATGGTGACACTAGAAGAGATTGTACAATCAGATTGTAGCTTGTCGTGTGATCGGTATTGATTTTGCCGGAACCTGTAGACTCGGGTTGCTGATCCAGGATAAGCCGTGGTGGGCATTTTGTGATTTCTCCGGCATTGTGGTTGCTGAATAAGGTTTCAGGTTTCTAATGTGTGTTGGCTGCTAGTGCCTGCCGATATCTGCAGATAATCTATAGGTGTATGGCCAGCGTTAGGCCTGGTTCACACTGAGCGCATTGTCGCAGCCGTTTGTCTGACCAAAAGCTTCACTGAAAGAAATCCCATTCATTCATATGGCCCCTGTGTACAAGTACATGAGCTTTTTTTTTTGGCAGACCTCAGCTCGTTTTGGCCCCATAGACTCAATAAGAAAGGCTTGAAAATGCACGTTGCAATTCGTTTTGGGCGTTTTGACATGCGTTTTGTCAATTGACTTCAATGTATCACAATCTGCTCATAAAAACGTCCGTATTTTATTTATATATATATATGTGTGTGTGTGTGTGTGTGTGTGTAATTATATATATATGTATATGTATGTGCAAAAACGCACTTAAACGAAATGTAACCAGGCTACAAAAAGCACGATAACCAGATGGATTAAACTCGCCATCTCAGAATCCTTTCAGGTGCAGCATTTGAGTCCTCCAGATGGCTTAATGGTACCAGAGCTTTGGCTTCAACTTGGGCTCACAGAGACTTGTGAACAAAGTGGTGTTTAAACATTGGCGCCGTGCTTCTTTTTGGGACATGTTGAGTGCTGAGTGATTTTGTTTTTGGAATTTGTGTTTTCTCGGTTTTCTTTTTTTAGACTCTTGTCAGCATTTAAAACACATCTTTTCCTTTCTGTCACTTTGTATCCCCTCTCTGTGGTTTGCAGCTCTCTGGTTAGGAGGGATTCATTGATCCCAGGTGTCTCTTATTGAGCAGTTGTAATATAAGCGAGTGCAGAGCTCACAGAGGCTTAAGAACAAAGTGACAGGAATGAAGTGGTGATGAAACATTGGAGTTTAACCTGTAAGTAATATCTGGAATATTGTATGCTAGTATGGTTGAAGGGTTTTTTGTTAGTGCTCACTGTGCCACATGTATGCATAAACGGGGCCACAGCTCCAGGGGAATGCCACTGTGATAGGTGTGAACAGGTTGCATTCCAGGAAGCTCACACTGCAGATCTGGGAGAGCAAATTGCAGCACTGAGGAGGCTTGACAACTTTAAGGTCTCGTTCACACCTAGGCGTATTGCATATGCGCGTCTGTCGCACGTTTTTTTACCGCGATTCGCGGTAAAGGCTACTTGGCTGTATCCCAGTGGAAACGCGCAACAAAACGGCCCAAAGTAGTACCTGTACCTTTTCAGGCGTGGGCCGTTTTGTAGCGCGTTAGGGACGGGCGTAAATACGCCAAGGTGGGAACGAGACCATTGAATACAATGGGATTTATATTTTTGAGCGTTTTGTAGAGCGTTCGTTGAGCGTAGAACGCGCTACAAAACGTTCAGGTGTGAACGAGGGCTTAAGGGTTTCTAAACCCTCCGGTTTTTTTTTTGCATATACCTACTGTTAGCAAGCAGTAGATATATGTAAAAAAGAAAAACGCTTTAAAAGCGGTTTAAACTTACCCCAGTCTTCCGTTCGAAAATGCTTGGGCGGCCGCAAAGCATCTTGGGGCGCGCGCATGCGCAGTTCGGAATTTTCGGCTGGGAGACGAGGAGAGACACAAGTTAAGTCTATGGGCACATGCACCCGCATGCAGACACCGTGGGACAGGAAGTGCCAGCAAGGACAGAGGAGTCGGCACTGGATTGGAGACCCGCAGCAGCGGTGGGGAGCAGGCTGAGGGCCTGTTCACATGAGTTTCAGGTCCTAATCAGGTGCGGATCTGCAGACGCGGTGCTATGTGTTTTGCCGCGTTTTTGCTGTGTTTCCAGTAAAAAAAAAAAAAACATTTTTTTATTTTTTTTGCTGCAGTGGGGCTGTCAGTATGTTAGCTGCAGTGCAGTGCGTTTTTGACGTGTTATTTTGATGCGTTCTGCATTTCCTGACCGTACAAAATGTGACATGCAGTATTTTTCTGTCGTAACCTGAACGGACTGCGCACGTGAGAACTGTAGCCCATAAAACACATAGGGATACATTGGGATGCATTTTGAGTGCAGGAGCGTACGGATCGGGTCAGCACAGAAAACAGACGTCGTGTGAACAAGCCCTGAAAAGGACAGGAAAGACGATCGGATTAAGCGACATCATTTAAGGTAAGTGCTTTAATTAACATTGGGGGGAGGGAAAAAAAATTTTTTACTTTAATGTCACTTTAAGGCTCCATTCACATTTAGCATTTGCGTTTTCCGTGCGGAAGAACACACGGCACAAAAACGCTAAATCTCAACATCTGCATGGAATCCGCTCATTTCCGGCTATTACTATGGCCACGAATGTGCAGGATCCGCCCCTGAAATTGTGCTTGGACTATTTTGTGGGACATGCGGTTTTGTACCCTGCGGTCCCCGCAATAGTCTGAGCAATGCACGATAAAATGCATTGGTTTTTTTACGTTTAGAGCGGTTCTGCATATTTGTACGGCCGAATATGTGCGGAAAACCGGTCATGTGTGAATGGTGCCCATACACCTTACGATTATCGGACAAAACTTTTCGTCCGATCGAATAGTCGTACGATTTTCGTACGGCAGCCCCATCCTGCCCTGATGATCGCAAGAATCATTTAGCCGTAATTAACCAAAAGCACCTGGACGAAATGCGGTAATTGATTTGCCGTATTATTCGTTAGCACAAGCGCAGTGTACATCGTACGACTTTTGACGGACGGAAACGCCAGCAACCTTACGACAATCGTACAATCTAGCAAAGTTTTCAAACATGCTTGACCGTCAAAAGTCGTACGATTGTACAGTACTATCGGTCGGACACTGCAATGCACACATACGATTATCGGACGAAAAGTCGATCGCATATGAGTATAGTCCGATAATCGTAAGGTGTATGGGCACCTTAAGAGGAGTCTTCTGCTCCATGAGCAGGCAGTTAATGAGGTTAATGTGGAGGGGTAGCTGAGGATGATCAGGTAAAGC